GTCGCTCCTGCAACCTTAGCTCTGGGGAAGCCTAGACAGGAGGGGTGGGTGTGAGATACACGCAGCACAACTGTTCGGAATATTTTCACAGCTCACAGTTTACAAAGCACCCTCTCTTATGAAAACATTCCTGCTTCCCACGGCCCCGAGGACCAACCAAGTAGTACTCTTCTGTTCTGAAAACAAATTTCTACCACAGTTAGGGTTTAAAACCTAACAGCGTTGGAACTGAGTGCAAGGCTTTCCCTCCGAAAGCGAGGACAGCTTTTGTAACTTGCTGGCACTGTGTTATTGTGCCGATGTAACGCACACCGAGGCGGGCACATGCCGTATGCACACACAGCTAAAGGTGGACTCCCGTAGATAAAGTAGCTTTGAAAAAGAAGTTACTTATTGTTCTTTCATACAATACATCCTGGCAGTAGCCTCCCCTCCCCCCACCTCTCTCAGTTCCTTCCCCACCTCCCCTCTCACCCTATTACTCTATTTCCCTGCAGAAAATAACAAGCATCCCCAGAATAGCAGGAGAAAGTTGCAGTAAAGCTAGGCATAAACTCTCCTACCCAGGCTGGACCAGACAATAGAGCAGAAGGAGGGTCCCAAAAGCAGGCAAAAGCATCAGAGGTACCCCAACTCCCATTGTTAGGAGTCCCACAAAAACACCAAACTAAACAACCATGGCATGAATGCAAGCCTAGGACAGACCCATGCAGGTCTCAAGAACCCTCCTCGGTTGATTGTGTGGGCCTTGTTCTCCTGGCATCCTTGATCCCTAAGGCTCCCACAACCCTTCCTCCCCCTCTTCTGAGGCATTGCCTGAGCTCCACCTAATGTTTGGCTTTAGGTCTCTGCATCTGCTTCCATCAGCTGCCAGGTGAAGCCTCTCTGATGGTGATTGGTCGAGGCACCGCTCTACAAGTATATCAGAATAGCATTAGAAATCATGTCATTAACTTTTGTCTTGCCAGTAGTGTTTGGTTGATCATTAGGTCTCCGAGCCAACCAGCGTCCAGTTCCTGGCCGTCCAGACTGTGTCAGGCACGGGCTCCCTCTCCTGGTGTGGGCCTCAATTAAACCAGCCATTGACTGGCCACTCCCACAAGTTCTGAGCCACTATTGCCCCTGCAGGCAGGACAGGTGTGTATCAACGATTTTGAGGCTGGATTGGTGTCACAGCCCCACCGCCGGGGGTCTTGCTGGTTATAGGTGATGAGTGGTTTGGGCTCCATCTGCTTCTTCGCTGGGGTCACTGTCACAGGCTTCAGGAAGTTTCCACTGCACTAGGTTGCCATATCATCCCCTCCCCCTCCACAATGCCACTCATTCGGGTCTTCTCTCCCTGTATTGTCTCTCCCACCCCCCCACCTGATCTCTCTTCTTTTCATACCCACCCTCCCCAAGTCTACCCATGATATTACATTTCCCCTTCCCAGAGAGATCTATGAGCTGTGCCTGCCCCCTGTGAGTCCTCTCCGTTACCTATCTGGGTCGGTGAACTGTAGTGTGATTATCCTTTAGCTAACAGCTAATATCCACTTATGAATGAGTACACAACATGTTTGTATTTCTGGGTCTGGTTGCCTTGCTCAGATTTTTTTCTTCTAGTTCCATCCATTTGTCTATAAATTGTGTGATGTAATTTTTTCTAACATCTAAGTAATACTCCATTGTGTAAATATATCACATTTTCCTTATCAGTTCTTCAGGTGAAGGACATCTAGGTGGTTTCAAGTTTCTGGCTATTATAAATAGAACTTCTGAGAACATAGTTGAGCTTCTTGTGGTAGGATGGAGCGCCTTTGGGTATATGCTCAGGGGTGTTATAACTCGGGCTTGGGGTAGATCAATTCTCAGTTTTCTGAGAAACTACCATGTTGATTTCCAAAGTGGCTGTACCAGTTTGCACTCCCACCAGCAATGGAGGAGTGTTCTCCTTGCTCCACATCCTTGCCAGCACGAACTCTCACTTGTGTTTTTGATCTTGGCCTTTCCAACAGGAATAAGATGGAATCTCAGAGTTGTTTTGATTTGCATTTCCCTGATGGCTAAGGATGTGGAACATTTTCCTTCAGTGTTTCTCATTCATTTCAGATTCCTCTGTTGAGAATTCTCTGTTTAGATCTGTACTCCATTTTTTCAATTGGATTATTTGCTTTGTCGGTTTCTAGTTAATTGAGCTCTGTACATATTTTGGGTATTAGCCCTCTGTCAGACGCTGAGTTAGTCAAAAATCTTTTCGCATTCTGTAGGCTGCTACCTTCGTCCAATGTATGGTGTCCTTTGCCTTACAGAAGCTTTTCAGTTTGAATAAATGAGGTCTCATCTATTGCCAGTCTTAGAGCCTGCACTATCAGTGTTATTATTTAGAAAGTTGTCTCCATGGCAATGCATTCAAAGCTATCCTCCCCCCTTTTCTAATATCAGATTCAGTGTATCTGGTTTTATGTTGAGGTCTTTGATCCACAAGGAGTTTTGTGCATGGTGGCAGGTACGGAGCTATTCGCATTCTTCTATAAGCAGACACCCAGTCAGACCAGCACCATTTGTTGAAGATGCTTTCTTTCTTTCCATTGTGTGTTTCTAAATTCTTTATCAAAAATCACTTGTCCATGGGCATGTGGGTTTACCTGCCTTCAGTGTGATTCAGCTGATCAGTGTCTGTTTTCATGCCAATACTATGCAGCTTTATTATTATAGCTCCGTAATAAAGCTTGCAACCAGGGATGGTAATACCTTCAGAAGTTCTTTTATTGTACAGGATTGTTTTAGCTATCCTGGTTTTTTTTTTCATATGAAATTGACTATTTTTCTTTCAAGGTTTGTAAAGAATTGTGTTGGGGAAAAAATGTGTTGGAATTTTGATGGGAATTGTGTTGAATCTGTAGCTGGCTTTCAGTAGATGGCCATTTTTACTATATAGATTCTACCTGTCCTTGAGCATGGGAGATCTTTCTGTCTCACAATATCTTCTACAATTTCTTGAAGCTCTTGTCATACAAGCCTTTCACTTGCTTGCTAAGGGTTACTTGAGAAAGGGATTCCATAGAGAGCACAGGTTATAATCTATTTATTGTATATGTTTTGTATATGTTTTATATTATTTTCTACCCACATATCTGTAGGCTTCAAAAGAGAAGTCAGTTTTTGTCAGTAATTAGCTTGCAATGCGGGCAGGATGCTCATGTCTGAAAACCCTCCTTTGTGCCCATGGAAAATGTGTGCTCCTCCTCCAAGACTCAGCCAGCTTCCCCAACATGGGATGACCGGGTCGTCTCTGTGGCCCTCCAGTCGCACCGATGCTGGAGTGCCTGTCCAGAAAGATCCTTCCCCTGTAGCTTTGGGTTAGAAGTGGGGTGATCACTGTCCATTAGCTTGTTCTTAAAGTTTTGATCCACATATTATCTTTAAATAGGTTTGTATATTTATATGTACTTTTTTAAATGAAAATGTTTTCTTAAATTTGATTTTTCTTTCTCAAATGCTGATGAATATGGTTAGCGGCAAATCTTGACCATGACTCATCTTAGTTGTTTTTATCTTTTGTAGATGAAGCCTAAACACATCCTCAGTGTCTTTATTTTGAACATTCTTGGGCATTCCTAAGAAATTATTTTTTTCTTTCCTTTCTTTCTCTTCCCCTTCCTTTAAAAAAAATGACTACTCGTGGAATCTTTTAGAACTTGAATCTTAGATAATATTAAGTAATGAGTGCCTAATATTTTTATTCTTCATTTTCTAAAAGATGTGTTAAATCCTCCTATTGCCCTTCCTCTTTAGCCTGTAAAAGAGCATGCCTAGCCAGCCCGCTTGTCTCCATAACTGCCGCATATCATGCGTGCTAAGGCTTCTCATATGACAGTGACCTGTTATAGAATGTCTTCAAGTAGACATCATGAGGTGAAAACTCCCTATCTATCTACGCATTTGTTCTATCTGCTAGCGGGAGTTGCAGCCTGTATGTTGTATTCCTAGTGGTGCCGAAAGCATCGCGCGTTTTTATGTGCCATCCGACATAGTTCTGTATGTATGGGGTAAAGAGTGACGGATCTGACGCATGGCAGGTTTGCTGTTTGTGCACCCTTTCTTGTTATCACTGCTGTTCCACTCTCTTCATTAATTCTGTCAGGAGGTCTTCCTCGTCGTGGTTCATACTGGAGCTGGATCTCACAGACCCTACTGCTATAATTACCCATCACCACGTGTTTAGCCTACAGGGTTCAGACACAACCTTCACCATCCCAGCATCTCGAATCCCCCTAATCCAACTTCCCAAGACAATCCAACAGCCTGACGTATTCGGGTTCCTGCTGCAATTTGTTCTTTTGACTGAATTTAAAACCATTGTAAAAGTTAGCCTTACAACACTCTCAGTGTGTTACTAAATTAAGGTTAACATTCAAGGATAATTTTCAAGCAATTAGCTTTGGTTTTTAGCTGAGCAGAGCACCCCAGTTTATGATGCCAAACGCAAACGATTTATACATGACCATAGTTAGACCAATGTTAGGTCTGTAGCGGTGATTTGCTAATCAAATTCAGGATTTGATTTGAAATGCCTCCGGCAGAGGGCAAATCCAGTCATGAAAAAAGCAGAAGCAAAACCCAGAGCCCGGATGAGCCTCCTCGAGAAGGTAGCTGAATCTTTCACTGTCCCTAGCAAAAAGGTTCCAGAAGTCACTGCTATTGCTCCTAAATTTTTCCCAATAAATTATTCGACTGTCCAAGACACAAAACATGTACGTTTTGAAATCTAGAGTTATAAAATATTCTGACATGTTTTAATATAAACAGGAACATTTCCAATGATTGCTTGGATCTAAAATGTTTTTCCACTTGACATTTGTTTATACTGCCGAGGAAAGAAACTCTATTTATGGATAACTGAATGGCACAAATAAACACGGGAGAGAGCCGAACAATCAGCTTTGATTGTGCATGAAAGTCTGCGATGCCATTGTGTACTCTTGGGCCGTATTCTGATTGCCTGTTTATTTTTACAGAACTGCTGGTGAGCCCATGGAGGAGGAACCAGCCCTGTGAAGTGCCAAGTCTCCCCCGATATTTCCTGTGTGTGACATCATTGTGTATCCCCCACCCCCAGCCCCAGCACCCTCAGACACGTCTGCTGCTTGGGTGGCACGGTTTGATGGAACGTAAACACCGGGCATCAGGTTCTGAACAGCAGCTTCACTTGTTCTTTGGATGGACTTGAAAGGGCAATGCAGATTCCTGAAACTTAACCACTGTGAGTCTAAAGTTACAGTAACCAGGATTGGAAGAAACTGCTCCCCGCGCGCGTTTATGCTGGAGACCCCGCTCCCAGACACGGCGTGAGCTAGAAACCTTCGGTGCAGCACTAAACACTGTCCGTTCAGAAGCTAGGACGGCCATCTTCGTTCCTGACATCGTCATCAGTGCTTTATTGTGTAGTTTACTGTCGAGTAGACTTAAATTGTTTCTTTTCAGCTATGATGGGAATTACAGACAGATTGCTGTGGGCTGCAGGGATTTTCTTCTTTTGTTTTGTTTTGGATTTTTTTTTTCTGTGTTCTAACACACTTCCATCCTTCCTGGTAAGACTTCAAGATGGAGCTGGGATGAGGCTTTGTTCTAGTGGGGGAAAAAAATCACAATGTATTTGGCAGTCCAAATGGAACTTGCACACCGTGCCTACTATGTGCCATGGGACAGTATTTTATGTCCTATTTTGTCTGTTTCAAGTTCTCACAGATTATGGATTTGTAGTTTTGTCCAGTACCGAGGTCTCTTCCACCGCATGCAACTCCACCTAAAGGACCACGGCTGTGGGGTGCATCTCTGGGCAGATGTGCGGTCTGTGAAAAGCACAGACCTCAGGCGCTGTGGTTTGCGCCCCATCTTTCCAGCACACCTCTCTCCTTTCTCCGTCTGCTGCTTCCTCCTTTAGAGAAAACACCCACAGCCTCCCCATCCTCAGGGGAGCTTAGCATTTGGTTTCTACCGTTTACCTTTCAGGCTAACTTACTTTGTTATCCGATTCTGCACATGGCTCAAGCGATGTCACCGAGTGTTCCAGGTCTTAGGGACGCAGTAATGAAAATGGCAATGATCTGAAGTCCCTGTGGATGGGGCTAAGGTGGGAGCTGTGCCTTCCATGGAAACTCACCCAGAACTCCACCATTGCACAGCCTGCCTTTCTAGCAAAGGTTCAAAATAAAGGACATTTATTCCTGAGATTAAAAACAGCTTACTAAGTAAAATAGAATCAAGTTAGTCGCTGCCTCTGAAAAATGCATTTCAGTGCATAACTCAAACACCTAAGACACTGAGGTAGAATAGCTCACATATTTAATATCTGACAATGCTTTTGAACATTGATGTTTCTTTTTATATATTTTCCTAACTCAAAGGATATATTAAAGCCATAAGTGAAGATTGTCATGCTTTTATTCAGAAATCTGAAAGAAACCTTAATTAAAACAAGGTTTTAGGGAAGGCCAAGATCTGAAAGACATGGAACAATGTGGTTTTAGTTAGGGAGGACTCCAACCTGTAAATCAAAGATGAAAGATCTCACTCACGTAGAATTACATAACTCCCCTTTGTTATACACTCAGGCCACATTTTTCATGCATTTGGTTTTTTTAGGATTACCATTTTAATTTTAAAGACTTTTATTACATATACAAAAATGGCTCGGTACTTGGTTTAACATCTTAGAAATTTGAGATACCCTTTGAAATAGGAAATCTGAAATGGAATGTAACTCAGTATTAGGTAAAAATGACTTTCATTGCATAAGGGTTAAGTCAATCTAGACTCATGATTATAATAAATGTTTTCTAAATTCCATTTTCTTGATGTTTTAGAGGAATCCCTGCCAATTATATTTGCTAACTCCTTTTTTAATTTTCTTTTTCTTTTCTTTTTTTTCCCCCTTGGTAATTGAGAAAATTTATTTAAAGAAAAACAAAGGCTTAAAGGCTTACAAAGAAGACCTCACTTTAAAAGAGGGAAAGTTATCATACTTCAAAAAGCTCTGTAATTGTGAACCTTCTAAACCAACTTCAGAGTTACACATTCCTGTCATTGCAAATCTATACTAGATGCTGGGTAATGAGACAAAACAAGGCAGCACAAGTTTATTAATTCACTGATCTCCCTGCAACCGCATGGCCTCGGAAGGTGGCTTCTCAGTCTGACGAAGCCAACTCACTAGGTTGTTGTAAACTCTGTGGTAGTTTAGATTTTTAAAATACTTAATAAAGAGCTAATCACACTCTTCCTCGCCGCTGTGCAACAACACACCTAATTCGTTGCAATGCAAATTATTAGGATCCCGAGAGCAGACACACCCTGGTGAAGGACAGAGCTGAAGGTAGCTTTGTGGGCTGAGAGGTTCTACACCTGATTGCAGGCACCATTACACTATGGAGTGTGGCCCCAGAGGGCGGAGAGCACCAGCGTTTCTTCAGAAGCTGACCACACTTTCAGTCCAACTGGTATATTTTTCTTCACCTACACTTTAGTTTTTATTGTTCCCAGTGGTCCCCAATGAAAGGCTAATGGAGAAACATTACGGCTCCTGGGGCTCGTTCTGACCCCCCCCCCTTTGAAAGACGACCCCGTGAGTTCCCTCACAGTCTAGCACAACACACACGTGTTGAAATAAAATAATTTTTGAGAAATACATGAGTAAAAAATAGTAAGTTTAAATAATAGAAACAAAGTGAAATATAATCAGTTTTGTTTTCTATATAATTGGACGTTTTATTTTTGACTGCATTAAGCAACCCTAGTAAGGACTGAGCAGGTATGAATATCAATGAAAATTTTTAATAGCAAATGGGGAAATATTGGAAGGGGAACATTTTCAAATATTTTATCTAATGTGTAATATCCAGACAGGAGAGAGAACTCGGATTTTGGAGACAGTAGATATATTTGTTTAAAAACTCTCACAAGTGACATTTCCATGCACACGCAGTCCTAGGAACAGCAACGGTGCCTTCAGTGTGCACTATGACCCACTAGGGACACTTTCGTTCATCCAACTAAAACACAGTGGCCTTGAAAATGGGGCATTTCCTCCCTCGAAGATGTCAAAAACCTGGGACTAGTCTTTCCAATAGGTCAGACCTATTTTATTGCTAGAGGTCAATGGTGAAGCTCTGTGAATGTACTGATATCTTTACAGACTCCACACGGGAGCGTGTGAGAATGGTCCTGAGGGTCGGCTGAAGGAGACCGCCTCCCCGCTCAGCACTTTAAACTCGCTTTATTTGATTCTGGCACTTTGCGATTAAGGCAATTTATTAAGTTGGGGTTTTTTTGTTGTTTTTTTACTATTTCTCTCTCAAAATTTTTTGTCTATGAGTTTCAGTGGAAGCAAGTGTTAAAACTGAGCAGCCTGGAAAGAAGCCAAAAGTTTGTCTCCTAAGCCATGATTCATTCTGAGCTTGAACTCGCTGCTCCGTCTAAGTGTGGCATTGTCTTTCCTAGTCTTATCTGTCCCAATATTCTCCTCCTGCTTTTGGAAATCACGTGCTTGCTGAGATACACACACACACACACACACGCACATGGACACATGCGGACACACGCGCGCACACACACGCACACACTTGCACACGCACAGAGAGAGAGAATGCAAATGGCACACTTGTAGCCCTACTTCAATAAAGATGACATTTTTACCTCCAAAGAAACAAAAGGCAAATTATCTGAGGTGGAGAAGAAAGGCTTTCCGTTATCTCAAGGACGGCCAGTGCTGTGGTCACGCTCACAGCTCTCCGTGTTCACATTATAAATACCCAAGACTATAGAATTTCCGTTCTCCAGACCAGTCACACAGCACATATACGTTCTATCTACCTGGTCTCATGATGTATCTACAGGAATGAGAGTGTGTCCGTTGTCAGTAAGTATATTGGAAGTAACGCCATTGGACAAATCTTAGACCATAAATCTGAGGCTAGCTGGACTGTATCTCAATGATAAGGTATTAGAGTGGTTATAACTTATCAACTGTCTTAAGTCTCAAACTAGAAAAGCTAGCAAATATATAATATGCTATACAGTGCCAATATTTCTAACCAGTGATTTCCTTTCCTCTAACTCTGTTTCCCTTGCTTCCTTGCCAATGGCAAATTGGCATATCTACACCATCAGAGTTTCTGATTTCTTCCTACCTTATGTTTCCTAAGCAGAAACAACCCTGCAAATTTCTCTTCTGAGACTCCACTTGGCATATGGGTCTCCAGGCATTTTATCTAAACCTAGCCTTATAGTCTTGATTGTGTTGTTTACTTATACCTATCAAAAGATACCTGGCTTAGCTAGCTTTATCTAAAAACATACCAAGCTTTGATTTATTCTGTACTTGGGGCTTGCCACTTCCATTTATTAATGCAGAATTTTACTTTTGGTCAATTATCGTCCACCATTTTTGCTACTATCCAATTGGGTAATATTGGTTATCAGACAGGGAAGGTTTTTCACATTCCCCATGCCCTTTGGAAGACACTTACGTGAGGCAAACCATCAAGTGCACATGACCACCTGAAGTAAGAATAGCAAACGAGAAACTGGAAGACTATATATTTTAGAAATAAAAATATCTGACTCATGAAATAGAAAATGGACTCCTTTAATTTTCTTGTTTGGTCCTTCTGCACATACGGGCACAAACAATGCCACGTGTATGTGGTCAGTTGTCTCCAGGGATACTGTGGTCAGGTCCCTGGCCCTCTCAGGGACATGGCATTTGTAACAATGACAAAACTGTCACAGGAGTGTCTGGATTGAGCTCTTTGTTGGTTAACATTTAGTAGAAATGGAATAATAAAAACCACAAAAGAACAAAAAGTTTTGTAATCTGAAGAGGAATGTTACTTCTGTGTGTGTGCGCGAAGGCTATTTTTAGAATGGAAAAAAGCTCCTTCTCTCTTGCTAAACTGTAAGATTCTCAGACTCTCTTTGGGTGGCTCTGCCAGTGTAGACCTTCACAGAAGCTGGGTGAGATGACATGGTCCTTTCAGGGATGGCTGGGCTCAGCGAGTGTGCTCTTGCCTTTTGTTGGCCACCCGTGTCACTCGAGACAACAACCTGATGTCGTAAATCAGCTGGGAAGTCCAGGCAAACAAATTCGTCACTGTTTTGGTTAAACGCTAGACTATGATTATTGGAGCGAGTGCAGATAATGGGGACTTTCTGGCTTGTGTCATGCAAATGTGTCTTTTGTATTGTGGTCCTGTACCTGTTACTGTGATAAGATCAGTTGCTTGTCCTCTGTGACCAAGTAGTTTTGCCCTTAATTTTTCGACTTTCATCCAAAGCTGTCATCCGGAACTGCTGAGAAAAGTATACATAGTCAAACATGAAGTTGTTCTGCCAGTGATGCGTCCCCACATGTGCAAGATAATTCCCTAATAAAGGTGCAGTAGCTAATGACGGCACCGTTGTTGAACATGCTTTCGGAGTGTTCCTGCTCCCTAGTCTTTTGGATTTGAAAACACAATATTATTTTCCACAGGATTGTTGACGTTGTTAGTGTCAACACTCCTTAGAAAGAATAATGATGCCCATTTTGTCTTGTGTTTTTTACTGATTAGATTTTCCTCTAGTCCTATGTGAATAAAAGCTATTTGAAATAAATGTGTCCTAAAGTTTCTACATCCTAGGTGCCTGCCCTTAGACTGTGCATCACAGATGATCCCAAATACATGACGTTTTGTGATAAACAACTATTACTAATTGTGAGATATGATGATATACACTATTCTACTTTTCAGAACTCTGGAAATTTGAGGCCAGAGATATGGCTTGGTAGTTAAGAGCACTGGCTGCTCCTGCAGAGGAACCAGGTCATTTCCCAGGACCCACATAGCAACTCACAACTATCTGTAGCTCGAGTTCCAGGGGATCTGATACCCTCTTCTTGCCTTTACAGGCCCCTGGCACAAACATGGTGTATATCATACATGCAGGTAATACACTCACAAATATAAAATGAAAATTAATCCTTTTTAATTTAAAGGTTGGAGATGTTTGCTTCCAAGTATTTCTTTGGATGAAATGAAAATTCACCACATAAAAAAAATTGTAAATCAAAACATAGTTACTAGCTGACTTGCTAGTGCATGCCTGTAGTCCCAGAGCTTTGGAAGCTGAGACAGACAAGAGGGTTGCCACAAGTTCAAGGACAACCTGGCTACGTAGTGAGTTTCAAGTCAACTTGGACTGTAGTGGAAGACCCCATCTCAAACAACAAGTTACAGCTACTGGTTTGATCATAGTTTGCTTTTGCTTGTCAGGAGAAAGAGCAATAAGGTCTGCCGAATGCATGTTCCTCTACAGAATGCTATACTAGAATTCTCTTTATCACATGACTCTTGTACCACATAGGCTGTTTACAGATGAGAATGAATATAATTCACTCACTGTTGTTATAGTCAGTAAGAGATGTCTACATCTTTATAGCTTTAAAAAGCCTATGCTCTTTCCAAATGTCCTCTACTGCCCATACAAGAGGACACACTGTGCATATTTCAACTAAAAATCTATGCCTAATGTCTAGGATGGGCTGTATGCTCAGCCTCTCATAACCTGGGCGGGGGAGGTATTAATTGTGGAGTTAAATGGATCTGGTCATCATGGCTAGATTAGTAGAGTATAAAACAATTATTTTTCACCGTATGCCTCATCTTACTTTAACCAAGACAAGAACTCTAAATTGTCTTTGGAACACATACTACAAATCTTTTGAAATCTAGGTCAGGACCAACACTTATTTTTGTATTTTACAACCCCCTGAAATATTTAACATTCTAAAGCATAACTGATTCCAATGGACAGTGGTTTGGGTTCCTTCTGGGAAAGGATAGGCATATTTTGTCTAAGAAAATGTAAACTTGAGATGGACTGTGTGAGTAGAGTTGATTTCAATGGTAAACACCTTTGTCCTAATCAGATTTGTCAAACGGTAAATGTTACTTCATGGTTGTCTGTTTTTTAAGTTTCTATGGTGAAAGAAACAGCAGAATGTAAGTGGGAAGATGAGGCTGGGTGTCTGGTTCGCCTAAGGAGCAAGCGTAGTCGAAAGCTCAAAGCATGTCTTTCACTTCTCAAGACGTTTGTACTTTCAAACCTTGCCGTTCCCCCCCAGAACCGTGGTACCAGTGTCCTGGCTGATCACAAACGGATCCCTCTGTAAAAACAGAGAACTCTCCTGGCGAAAATCTCAAGAATAGGGAAGCAAGACTCAGGAAAAGAGACCAAGAAATGTTCTTTTTAGAAGACAATAGGAAGTATGAGAATTGAAAAGAGGAGAAAAGATTTAAAGTTCCCAGTATGTCTAAAAACCAAGAAACCCCATTGAACTCCACACTGAAAGAGCTTGTAGTGTAATGAGATACAGCATAAGCCCACTTACGTATCGTCTTTGTTTTGTAAGAAATAAGGCTTAAACTTAAAATTTATTATGTCACACTTCACCTTTCATGATGAGATTTTCCCTTTCTGTTTCTCCTTATTTTATTTTTGTTCGTCTTATTCTGGAGGAGAAGGGAGATGGATGGGATCAGGAGTCTTGATTTCAAAGACACAAAGAATAAATGAAAAAAGTTAAAAAATAATCACAAGGGTTAAAATCTTAAGATGTAATCACAGAGAATCCTTTCATGGCATAATAAAAGCAAAGATGTGAATATTTTAACATGGTGATATTATGTTTATGATTTATTTCTAATTCTAAGATTTTCTATCCACTTTAATGAGATTGTTTTTAAGATGCACATTTTAGTGCACTGTGCTTAGCTTGTGTGTTCCTTGTTATTCATGTTTTGTCGTGATTATTCATTCCAAAAATAAAATAAAATAGAAACACATTTAACATTTCTTCTGTTCTGTCATTGAAATCTCACAAAAATATCACTAGGGAAGTAATATAAAATATCATCACATCAATGCTTATATGACAAATGAAACTCATCTTTTTGAAGTTCTTTTTAATTTAATTCAGTTTTAAAATTTATTTTTCTTTTTGTTCATAAGTTAGCATACAATGTGTTGAGTTTTATCATGGTGTCTTCATATATACATATATGATATATATCATATATATCTCATTATTCTTTGTTCTAAATGGGTTCCTTCCCTAGTACCTGACTCTTTCCTACCTGTTCCCTCCCTCCCCCTCTTCCTTCTTCCCATTAGTTCTTCCTTCTGTTTCTTTTAAAGCTAATCTATTACCTCATTTCCCACCTCCACTAGGATTTTTTTCTGCGCTTCACTTGATCTTTTTTCTGGTTTAATGACCTGCAAACACACACATCTAAATGCAAACAAGGATGAGCATTTGATGCAAAGTATGTAATTCCTTAGAAAGGGTGGACAGGAAGCTGAGGAAGAGATCACTTTCCTGATATTCACAAGGCTGTGGGTTGAAAACTTACAACCCACATGGGAAGAGGATTGATCGTCAAAATGTACAAAGAACTTGACATCAAAACAACAAATAATTCAATCAATAAAAAATGGGGTACAGACCTAAACAGAAACTCTCAACAGAGAAATCTCAAATGATTGAAAGACACTTAAGGAAATGCTCAACATGCTTAGTCGTCAGAGAAATGCAAATCAAAACAACTCTGAGATTCCATCTTACACCTGTCAGATGGCCAAGATCAAAAACACTGATGGCAGCTTATACTGGAGAGGATATTGATGTAAAGGAATACTCCTCCATTGCTTGTGGGAGTACAAACTGTTACAGCTGCTTTGGAAATCAGGATGACGATTTCTCAGAAAATTAGGAAACAATCTACCTCAAGAACCAGCAATACCACTTTTGTGTATATACCTTAAGGGTGCTCAATCACACCACAAGGACATGTGCTCAACTATGTTCATAGCAGCTTTGTTTGTCATAGCCAGAACCTGGAAAAAAACTAAATGCTCCTCAACTGAAGAATAAATAAAGAAAATGTGATAATTTATACAATGGAGTACTACACAGTGGGAAAAATGATATCTTGAAATTTGCAGGCAAATGCATGGATCTAAAAAAAAAAACATATTGAGTGAGGTAACCCAGAGTCAGAAAAACAAATATAATATGTTCTTCCTCATAAATGCATTTAAGAAATAAAGCAAAGATAAAACAACCTACAGCCCACAATCCCAGAGAACCTAGACAGCAAAGAGGACCCTAAAAGAGACATACTTGGGTCTATGTAGGAAGGAGAAAAAGACAAGATCTCAAGAGTAAATTGGTAGTCACAGGAGAGGGTAGAAGGAAGCGGGGTGAAGGGAGGGGAGCAGAGAAAAATGTATAGCTCAATAAAAATAATAAAACATTAAAAATATGTTATTTTTTTAAAAAGCCATCGCAGGAACAGGTTACCTCTTTTGGAGTTATTAGCCAACGAAGTGCCACAGCTTCTCAAACATTACAGGCTACCTCTGCTCCAGAGACAGTGGGATCTGGGAGAACAGAGGCAATAAACGAGGCAGACTGAAGCCTCATGCAGTAGCCAGCCTTATTCTGAGCAGCAGACAATTTATACTCAGAGGGTTAAGAGCAGACACATGAGTAAAGTGTGCAACCTGAGGGCAAGCCACATGTGGTGGACATGCAGCCGGAACATGGCTTCCCATCGGGACAGATAAACAAATCAAACAGCCAGCGTATTGAATGCTCTGAAGGGAACTCACTCTGCCCGCTGTACCTGGGAGGGACATCAAGGCACCGTCTAAGTCCAAGTCCGTGACTGCAGAAAGCGAGGTCACAAGACTCAAGTCTTGTTTTCCCACAGACGGAATTCTGCTCGCAGGACTCTTCTAACAAAGGACTGTTGCCAATACTAATGGTTACTCTCCAGAACGGAGAGTAAGCCCCTATCGCAGAAGACCTCACACGCCCAAGATCTGTACAAGCTCAAGAGAGGACAAATCCCAGCCTGGAGAGGGAGGTGGGCTGATGGTCCCACCCTAGCCGAGGAGCTATGGACAGTTGGTAGCTGCTGGGCGAGGAAGAATCAGTTTTCCACGCAAGTATAGCTTCTGGTCATTCTGCTGTGTTCCAGTGGGAGGCCACACATCCAAGTGTAAACAGACAGCACCAACTGGACTTGGCATGGTGTGTGTGTGTGTGTGTGTGTGTGTGTGTGTGTGAGAGAGAGAGAGAGAGAGAGAGAGAGAGAGAGAGAGAGAGAGAGAGTATAGTGAAGGTGAAAGAGATGGGGAGAATTGGGAGAGGGCTGAATAGGACCAAAACACATTGTACAACATTTTCAAAGAACTAATTAAAAAATGGTAAACAAGAAGAAAAAGGTTGAGCAACAAGGATGAGAAACCAGTCCTCCTGGCTTCCCTAGGAGGAGATTAAAACGTTTCCACAAGGTAAGTCAAGTGACAGCAGTTTCATGGTAGTCAGCCCTGACCACAGAACAAGTCTCCAGTTCTCCAGCCTGAGACGTAGTTGGGGAATCTGGAGATGGTTCATCGAGAGGTGATTCAACAGGTACACGTATTTGCTACCCGAGCCTGGTGACCTGAGTCCAAGACCCAGAAACGTTGATGTTCGCCTTGGTTTTAAACAGCCCCTGAGACCAATTAGTGCTGTCCATATGCTCACCCACATGGGGCCAACCACAAGTGAATACATTCCTTACCAATGGCTAGTCGCCAAAGAAGAACGGCTCTCCCTGCATCCACAGACGGATTATTTGTCCAGCCCACAGTCTTCTCAGCAGTCAGGGTGGCTGATACAGAGGTGCAGTAGAGCCTCAGAGCCTGAACAGAAAACTCGCTCCAGGGGCAGGTACAGAAAGCAAGAGTATGTACTGACTCTTGCTACTCCAAAAGGAGTAGCCAGGGCAAGCTACCTACACCTGTTGAGCCCTCTAGGGTTGGCGAGGTGTAGAGCAGCCCCATAGCAGCGTCCTTTGATTTGAGGACAGGGTGAGTATAAATGACTATA